ATATATATTTGATCAGGTCAGGTCAGGAGATCGCTTTAACAGCTCACGATCGAGCTATTGAATTTATGCACACACAAAAAAAACACACACGCATCTGCTATCACACAGGCCTTTGGGTTCGTCCATTTGCTTTCACACCACATTGTCCAGCACTGGAAGCCGACCAAGAGCCTCCTTTTCAGGCGGTCTCAGTCCGGTTGTTTCATGTGCACCAGCTTTGGATCGACAGTTTTCACATTAGCCCAAACAAACGGCACTAACGAGGCAAGACCGGTTCGATGACAAAGCACTCTTACTCTTACGATTGTCACAACGTGAGTCGACACACATTTATTTAATTATGTATACTTTAACTGAAACATTTAAAAGTATAAAAACTGTTTGTATTGTGCCATAGTGGTAGAAATGACCAAAGTACTGCATAGTAATTGACAACCAGGGAAGGTAATTTGCCCCTTTACATGGTTGGTAATCTAGCCTTGAGTTGGTTAACCACAGAGCTAAAAAACCACGAGATCAACCCAATGATTGTCTCCCCCTGCTAGGACTACGATGGCCTTGTGGTGAGATCTGCAACGAAGGTAACTGCTGATGTCATCAATGCCGCTAATAATCTGAAAATCATTGGGAGAGCTGGAACTGGCGTCGACAATGTGGATGTTGATGCTGCCACCAAAAAGGGTATTATTGTCATGAAGTAAGTTCAGTCTGTGCACAAATTTGATCACGCAGTTCCAATATAATGTACTGTCCATTAACTGTAGACTGTTGTTCTCTTTTCTCCAGCACACCAAGCGGTAACACCATCAGCGCCGCCGAGCTGACATGTGCACTGACGATGAGCCTCTCGAGGTGAGATGAGCGATTGTCAACATGTGGCGTTTTTTTTTTTTGTTTTTTTTAAACTTGCATTGCAGTACTGTACAAGTGTCAATTCATTTCATTCCGTTTCCAGAAATGTGCCTCAAGCCGCAATGTCGATGAAACAAGGGAACTGGGATCGCAAAAAGGTGAAAGGAGATTTTTAGTTTTGAAACGGCCGTGTTTGCGGTTGGCACACAAAGCGATCACTGCCGCGTGGTCGGCTCCATTGTTCAGCCAATCGTCACTAATCGGGTGTGACACTTGGACGGGGGTCATAGTTTTTGTTTCTATTTTTGCAGTTCATGGGTGCAGAGCTGTATGGCAAAGTGCTCGGAATAGTTGGACTTGGAAGAATAGGAAAGGAAGTCTCCTCAAGAATGCAATCATTTGGCATGAGGGTAAGTGAAGAGATTAGACGTGTCCAGACGTTTCTCAGTGCTTAATCACACTTTGATAATTCGATTGAACAAACATGGCAAGATGGGTTTGTTTTTCTCTCTCTCTCTGTGTAGACGATCGGCTATGATCCAATCACTCCTACTGAGGTTTCTGCCAGCTGGGGGATCGAGCAGATGTCTCTGGAGCAGCTGTGGCCCCAGTGTGACTACATTACTGTCCACACTCCCCTAATGCCCTCTACTGTTGGTGAGTTTCACATATAGCCATCATCAACTACTGAAAAAAGTTGTGGGATTTCTTTTCCAACTGTCAATTTTTCTGTCCAAGGTCTGCTCAATGATGAGACGTTTGCTAAATGCAAGAAGGGAGTGAAGGTTGTGAACTGTGCACGAGGGGGGATCATTGATGAGGATGCTCTCCTCAGAGCTCTGGAGTCCGGACAGTGCGGAGGAGCAGGGCTCGACGTCTTTGTTGAGGCAAGATCATTAGAGCAAATGCATATTTCTTTGATCACTATTAATAGAGTTTCAGCAGCCTATGTCTTACTTTGTGTTTTATGTTCGGCCACAGGAGCCTCCTAAGAACCGCTCATTGATCGAGCATCCTAATGTCATCAGCTGTCCTCACCTGGGAGCCAGTACGAAGGAGGCTCAGGCTCGCTGTGGGGAGGACATCGCTCTGCAGATTGTGGACATGGTGAAAGGCAAGAATCTGGTTGGAGCCGTAAGTTCTACTCTGGTTTTTGTTTTTTTTAATACCTTTTCAAACAAATTACTTGTCACTTGTTGAGATTTGTCATTGCAAAAAGTTATTACAGGGGGAACTTCAGTCATTTTGTGCTGCACTTCCATAAAGTTGGGGAGACTCGCGAGATACAGATTAAAAAATGAAAAATCAATTCACCTGTTTATAACACATGCGTTCTGTCTAAAAGTTGCTATCTTTAAGCACAAGCCACAGAGAACATTGTACAACTGTTTGCACTGGCTGAGTTGTCGATCGGAGTCCAAGCTTTTCTTAACTTTACTTCAATGACAACATGACAAGATTTGAAGGATTTTCTTTTGGTGCAACATGTCAGGTGACCCCTGTTCTGTGTCAGCAGCATCATGCAGGAAGCTAACCATTGTCTCGCCATTCCACAATTATAATGCAAAGCAAAACATGAGTGCATGCAGTTTGATGCACTTAGTTTCTTATTTTACTTTTTTTTTTAATTGTACGATATTGAAAGAGCACATTTTTATTTTCTCTGTTACTTAATTGTTGATTCTAAGTAAAAACAAGATAAATGGAGAAACAATTTTTTACACAAATGTAAATACGGCTTCTTCAGTTCTTGTAGACTGCTAGCTTTCTTTACCTTCCTGTTTGAAAGTTATTACTTAATATTTTTGGAAAATTAGATATTTTCAGATGCATGAGACATCTACCAAAGTAATCTAATCTTCAAAGTAGCCTTTTACTGTCATGCACTAGTCTAGTTTATGCTTTGGGCAATAATGCACAATTCAGGCGTCTTACCGTTGCATTGTGAATACATTCCTGTGTCAAATCCTATAGTCACTTAAGTTTGTGTTCGGAAATGCGTTGTCAACAACGTATTTTGGACTCGGCATGGATTACCATGTGTGTCATACCGTGTGTCACACTATGTACTAATACCATGTAATTCCAGTCAAATTACTCGAACAGGTGTTTTCATGATTTTGTTGGAATATATATCTCGCCATAAGTTCCATGAGTAGCAGTCTCAGGAGCTTTCTGTCATAACACACGATCTGAAGTTTGCCAAGTAGTCATGGATTTGTAGATGTAAGGTTTTCTCATCCATGGTGACTTGAGTTTGACTGAAAGTTCACTCTTTACTTTGGAAACGGCAGCAGCTGGCAAAACGATCTCAATCACAACACACGATCTTCTAAGATTGTGTGACGTGGTCAAAAAGATTGAACACTAAATTGTCCTTGTGATTGTTTTTGCCTGCTGCTGTTTTTTTTTTGTAGGGCGAGAATAAACTTTTGATGAAGACATACAGTACATACACATTTGGTTGACTGAGCCTGATTAACGTCTCTGAATTCAGAAGTCTGAAAGTAGACAAAAGACACCATCATGAGGAAAAATCTAACGATGACCCACAATATTTACAAGAAGTGGTTATTCGACCAAACTTGAGCATTATAAGAAAGTGACTAATTCGATTTTAAATGGATCTCTACTAGAAAAGGGTGATGGTGGATCGAGAAGATTGAAGAAGTTGCAAAGTGTTAAAATGCTTAGTTACGTCTGTTTTCCAAGTTTGTGATTGCATTCAGTTCACAAAAGCTCTCTGATTCCATGTTTAGTCCTTGTTTTTGTTTTTTCTGTAGGTAAATGCACCGGTTCTGGTCAGCACGTTCTCCCAGGATGCTCACCAACTGATCAAACTCGGAGAAGCTGTCGGAGCTGTGCTGCAGTCCTGCACTGCTTCAAAGAAACCATTCAAATGTGTCCAAATCACAACTCGAGGTACAACTGCTGTCTAAACTACAGGGTCTAACCGGTTTGTCTAAGTTGAGGAGGGGGGTTGTATAATAGGAAGATAATGTTGTAAAGGTTTTTTTCTCCCGCTGGTGGTGTGATTGGGGAAAGCACTGTTGTACAAAAGCAGTTGTAGTGTGAAGATGCACTTTTTGCTGTTCAGTTTTTCCAAAATCACCATTTTTACTTTATAATGTGTCACTTGCTAGTGGTGGCAGTTGACTCGATGTGCTGTTTTCTTCAAACCAGGGGATTGCATGAAGTCCTCCACTGGTTACATGACTTCATCAGTACTGGTTGGCCTGCTGAGCCATGAATCTGACTGTTGCCCGAACCTCATCAACGTACTGAGCCTTGCCAAGGAGTCTGGGATCACGGTAAAACATGGATCTCATTCCTGCAAATGTCACGTGACAAAAACGAGGTGCGTGTCTTTTTAGAAAAATAATCTTTTCATATCGACTATTCAGGTAAACCAGAGCCACTGTGCATCTGACGGGGCTGCCAGTGGAGTGTGTAAGGTGGAGATCGGGGCCGACGGCTGCAGCTTCAAAGCCAGTGGTTCAGTTCAAGGTGGCGTGCCGGTGCTGCTGGAGCTGAGCGACAGTGTGTTCAGACAGCCGGTCTCTCTCACTGGGAATCTGCTGTTCTTCAAGGCCTCCGCTAGTCTGCAGCTCCTCTCCTCAGTGGCTGGTAAGAAACAGAAATTTAAAAATGATGCGTTGCCCTTTAATATTTGGGGAAAATAATCCTTTAACACTGAAGTTGTTAGAATAAGGACAAAACTGATGGCTACAGCTAGTTGGTCTCTGTATTAACAATCTGGATGGATCTTAAGCTGGGCTAACAAATTCATGACATGTCAAGTAATCATAGGAAGTTTCAGCTACGTAAAATATCAAACACTTCAACATTCTTTGAGCTTTCATGATTGCATTATGAATTTAACTATACGTTTATAATAAACTGCGTTAGTGTAGCCAAAATGCAGAAACTCGCACCCTTAAATAATGTCCTCAGTTAAACCCTTATATTAATTTTTCCATTTAGAGCTCTGTCTTTTCAACTGTCGTCTTTACTGTTTGAGACATTTTCTGGCAGTTTTTGGACACGGACATATTTGTCTAAGTACATCAGAGCAATGTTGTTGTTTTTTAAGGTGAGGTTAAATGCATAAAATTCAACCATTCCTGTTTCTGAGTATTTGTCACATAATTTCATGGAAAATGAATACTGTTTAATCATCAGAGTATGTACAGTTCAAATGGGACTCTCGTGTGTATTTCTCAATCTGCCAACCTCTTAAGCCTCTATCTGTTATATACATATACTGTAGACCCAAACTTTTGTTTAACATGCACATATGTCCTTAACTTTGGGTTTTGATAAAGATACTTTTCAAACACATTTTCTTCAAAGCTGAATTTTAACAGAGTAAATATTGCAACACACATTATTCCTGTAGCCAGTTACCCTCCTTAAAGATTGAATATATTCTCAGTGGAACAGGCAGATGCAGTATATTATGCGTTTGTGATGCTGACGGATGGTGTTGACAAAAGGTGTCTAACTTTAAAGCAGCTGAAGGGGAGATTTAAGGTTTCAAGTGGTAAATGGTGACGGTAATTTTGCAGTAACTGTAATCAAAATAACGCATACATTGCTGTCGGCAAGGCAAAATCTGTAAACTAGATTTTTATTTTATTTTTTTGACTTCAGACTTTCAATTTGGATGCAAGCTGGTACTGAGTTGTGACTTCTAAGGACATAATCGTGTTTTTCTTGCTTTCAAATCACACCTATTTTCTCTTGTCGATTGTTTTTTGTTTAGGACTTCTGGCCTCAGAGGGAGTGGAGATCCAGTCCTTCAGTGCTCCCGCAGAGCTCTCTGGGGATCTGTGGTATTGTGTGGGGGTGTCCTCTCTCCCGACAGACCTCAGTGCCTTGAAGCCTTTGGTAAAGGAGGCCGCACAGCTCACCATTTAGATGACAGCAGCAATGCTATGTGTAAATCTTCAAGAGCGTCTAATACACTTGATCCCTCTAGGTCTTAGCGTTTACAACTAACAACTTACAAGTTGATCATTTGCAGTTCAAAACTTGTATTTTGATAACATTCCAGTGTTTAGGTGAATTAAAAATTACCTGTCATGTGCTGTTTGACCTTTATAAAGCAGAGGTGTAGAATAAAGTACACTTACTAAATCACTGTAAGAACAATTGTATTGTGTTTTTATTTAGTGAACTTCACACTTTTTTTATTTTAAGGGGGAGGTATTCCACCAAGTTGCCAGTGTAGTAAGCTCACATGTACAGTTTAATTCAATCCAATACAACAGCCTATAATGTAACTTCGAATAAAACTAAAGTTTAAAATACAAGTTGTATTATTAACATCTTTTCTTGTAATCTATAGTTGAGGCAGAAGTTTATAGTATTGGATCACTTTGCATTGTACAGGGGTACATGATATCTCGTAAAAGCTCGTCAAATACGATGCATCTCCAGTAAAACTACCCAACAGCAGTGGTTGGTGGTATCTAAGTATATTTACTCTCATTCCTCGACAATTCAGAGGGTAATATTGTACTTTTCAGACCACTGCATTTCATTTTTTTAACATGTGTTGCTAGTTACTGTCCAGGTTTAGATTAATAATGCAGAATATAATCAACAAATACATTATTTATTATTATGGATGGAGATAACTTTATTGATCCCTTGATGGAATTCACAAGATTTAGTATATATATTGAAAAATAAGCCAAACTTTACCATCTGCAACACTTGGTGTAATGTATACATTTTAATACATCAATAATGTAATATACGTTATTCTGAAATGGGCCAGTCTGCATAATCGGTACATTTACATGTTGTATCTAAAGTATATTCTATGCTAGTACTTTTAAAATGTTAACTTGTAAAAGAGTATTTCTACGCTGTTTTATTGCTACTGGGCTGCTCTGAGTACTTCTTCATCATTGCCCAACAGTATAAAGTACTAAGACCTAGTACAACATGGACCACCAACAATTTGTAAAATACTGTATACGAATGTCTCTAAAATGGACATATTCGTTAATACGACTGACATTTAGATACAGGTAAGTCTTTTAGTGATAAGTTGCCTGCATTGACTCAAGTTCTGTACTATAGTACAAATTTGATGTGCTTGTACTTTACTTAAGTCTTTTCTTTGCATGCCACTTTCTACTCTACTACATTAAAGAGTGCCGTATTCAAACAGCAAAATCTTATGAAAGAAAACATAAATATAGTAAAATAAATAGCTCTAAACAGTGTGTAACGTTTGCTTTGATTGTTGGTGCAGCACCTGCCTTCAACAGTTCCTGGATGTGCGTGACTACTCTGCATTGTTTGAGCTAATAAAAGGGAAAAAAGTAATTAACTATTTTGATAGTTTGTCATTTTTAATGTAATACATATTTGCTGCTTTTAATGACGGCATTTCTTTAAATTCAGTTTTTTCTGATGTTTTTACAAATGATAGATTGCTTGTTTTGTAAAAACAATCATTTAATTGAGAAAATAATCATTAGTTAGTTTGAGCACCACTTCAACCAACTACAGTAAAACCCAGCTTTTACATTAATGCATGAATAAAATAATATAATAGTCAATATAATGGGCACAGGGGACATTTTCTGCAAAGTTGGCCTTTTACTTTCAATACTTTATACTTACATACTTTTACTTAAAGGAACAGTGTGTAGCATGTAGGGGGATCTATTGGCAGAAATGTAAACCATTAAGTATTTAGTTTTCTTTAGTCTATAATCACCAGAAAATAAGACTATTGTGCTTTCGTTGTGTGAGATCTCCTGCAGGAGTGCATCTCGTGCACTGTGCTGTTAATCCTGGTTAGGATTAGGTAAAGCCTTGACCACACTGAAAGTGGGTTCAAAACCATGGCAACGACAAGAATGAGGCAAAACACGGATTGTGAACAGTGCAATGGCTTCTTTTTAGTGCGCTGCTGAAGGCGACGCGCATTTGCATAAGATTTGTATTCTGTTATTGGCGTTTCTCCGCCAATACTGTTCCTCACGAGACTGGATTGAGGTTATATTTAGGCTCGCGGAGAAAACAGCGTGTTGGGTGATTCCTCTGAATGGTTGCTTGGTTTTTGTCAAGGACCTGCTGGTGGAGAATTGCTGCAGAAGTGAGGAGGAGGAGGGCGGCGAGGGGGGATGGCCGCTGCACATCAATACCAAAATAGGATAGAGCTGCCCGCGACAGTCCTGCACGAGCTAAATTGAGGTCCGTGTGTTGTTGTTTTTGAAGAGCGTTCAAAGAGAGGACGCACTGTCAAGCGTTGAACAACACCGGGACAATCGTGGAAATATGATGAGAGGTAATGTAGCCTTCTATTTATGAATAAAATGGTAAACACAGCTATTGACACCACACGTTTGCATGTGTTCTCCCATAGATACTATGTCACTTAAGCAAGCTGAAATTTACGCATACGACTTCTGTGACGGCGACCACCCCGCGGAGCTCCTGGACGCCCTGAGACATTTCTACATCGGTGGCCTGTTCACCGACGTGGCTCTGCAATGTGGCGACTCCGGGCAGGTGTTCCACTGCCACAAGGCGCTGCTGTCAGCCCGCAGCTCCTATTTCAAAGTCATGTTCACGGCCGACATGAGGGAGAGGTCGAACGGTGTCGTCAAGCTCACCGGGGTGGACTGCGGGGTCCTGAGCGCGCTGGTGAACTACGTGTACACCGCTCAGCTGAGCATCACGCAGGGGAACGTGCAGAGCCTGCTGGAGGCCGCCGACCTGCTGCAGTTCGTCTCTGTGAAGCGAGCGTGCGAGGAGTTTCTCGTGCGCCTCCTGGATGTGGACAACTGCTTGGGGATGCACGCTTTTGCCGAGCTGCACCTGTGCGCCGGCCTGGAGAGGGAGGCCCGCAGGGTGATGCTGAGCAGGTTCACGGAGCTCATCCAGCAGGAGGAGTTCCTGGAGCTGGATGTCGGGAAGGTGAGATCGGTGTTGGCTGCTCAGAACCTCACCGTGCAGAGGGACGAGGTGTTGATAGATGCCGTAGCCAAGTGGGTGACCCATGACTTGGATAATCGCGTTCACTGTTCTGCAGAGTTGCTGCACTCCATCCATCTGGACCTTGATGAGATGTACTTCAAGGCTACATTAGAGTTGCACAGACAACGCTTGCCGAGCAGTGGAGACATTTTTAAATCTGTGATCGTTCAGGCTTTAAGGTCCAGTGGCAAAGACGTGTCCGCAAGCAGGAAAATGTCTTCCAGCATGTATGTCATCGGTGGATATTACTGGCACCCTCTTTGTGAGGTCCACATCTGGGATCCTATCAGCAACACCTGGGTGCAAGGAAAAGACATGCCTGACCACTCCAGAGAGAGCTACAGCGTCAGTTTACTTGGAGCAAATATCTATGTGACCGGTGGTTACAGGACAAACTCTGTCGAGGCTCTGGACACGGTTTCGGTTTATAACTGTGACTATGATGAATGGACCGAGGGCTGCCCCATGATCACTGCTAGATACTACCATTGCTCTGTGGCGTTGCATGGCTGTGTTTATGCCATCGGAGGATACAGAGGAGGAGCTCCAGAGCAAGAGACAGAATGTTATGATCCCTTGAAAAAGAAATGGTCCCCTTTGGCCAAAATGATCCAAGGTATGCAAAAATATTAAGTGATGTCTTATATGAATCAATGAACTTAAGAAAAAGAACAGAATACATCACTGTTAACAATCTCACATGATCCTCTTTCATTCTTCTATCTGCTGACAGAGATCATGTGATGTGATTGAAAGCTCCCGAACAGCTTGGATGACATATTTTGGAAGATTGTTTTTTCTTCTCACCTGCTGTTTTAGGTCAAGAATGACCATTGGACCTCAATAAATTAATTATTCACACGAGTTCCACTTCTTTCTGAGCTTTCAGCCACATCCTGAATCATCTCCTGAACCTAGATATAGCTGAAAGCCACGAAATAAATTGAGAAGAGGAAATTGAATGAAAAATAATGCATGTTTTCACATTTTATACAATTTAAAAGTGCACTAATCCATATTTTCACATTAACTCTGGATCAGATGACTACTTGTGTATGAAATTGGTCGCTCCATATTGACAAACCCACAAAGCAGCATTGTTCACCTCAGATCTATACGGATCATTTTTAGCTCATTCTTTTGGTTTGATGGCCCACAATTTTATTGCATTAGTTCAATCCCACTGCTGACATCAATGGCAGCTGATACTTCTGTATCTCTTTCCAGGCAGCAGCAGGGTGAACAGGTTGTGGCTGCGGTGGGTTTTGTCTTGTATTATCCTTTGAGCGCTTTGCAGGCTCCTCTTCTATATCACTGATGCTCCGTAGACGGGTGCCAATGATGTTCTGGGCGGTTTTAATCACCCGCTGTAGAGCCCTCCTGTCCTGTGCCAGTTTGTAATGTTTGCAGTCAGGATGCTTTCTATTGCACCTCTGTAAAAGTTGACAAGAACTTGGCACAGGAATTTAGCTTTCTTTGCCAGGATGGAGATATGTATGATGACCATGTCAGGTTGTTTGTGATGCTGATTCCTAGGAACTTAAAGCCGTTAACTTGCTCCACCTGAGCTCCATTGATGTAAAATGATACGGCGCTTCCTTCAAATGGTCAAAAAATAAATGAATGCAGGTTTAAGTCATTTACATTTATAGATGTGAGTGATTGATCAAATACTTATAACCTCTGTTTCCTTTGAAGGTGTAGGAAATGCCACTGCCTGCGTGATGGGAGATCAAATCTATGTGACCGGAGGTCACTATGGGTACAGAGGAAACTGCACCTATGAAAAAATCCAAGTCTACAAGCCTGATGTCAATGAGTGGAGTATCATTACAATAAGTCCTCATCCAGGTATGAGAAAAAGAGGAAGAGATAGGAATGAATATATGCTGAACACTGTATTCTGATTTGAAATCCTCTGTTTTCAGAGTACGGGCTGTGTTCTGTGTCTCTCAACAACAAGCTGTATTTGGTGGGTGGACAGACGACTGTCGCAGACTGCTACGACATAGAGAGAGACGAATGGAGACCAATATCATTGATGAAGGAGAGGCGGATGGAGTGTGGGGCGGTGGTCATTAATGGTTGTATTTATGTAACAGGGGGATACTCCTACTCAAAAGGGACTTATCTGCAGACCATTGAGAAATACGACCCTGAGCTGGACTCGTGGGAGATTGTGGGGACTCTTCCAAGCCCAGCCAGATCACATGGAAGTGTTTGTGTTTACAGTGTTTAGTGTCAAACCCTCATCACATCATTTTGTGCCAAAATGAATCAGATTGTGAACTGTACTCTGTCAAAGTCTGCAAATGTCAGATACTATCACACATGTCAAGTTAGCCCAGTATAACGGCTGTTAATAGAGAGCTACCCATTTGCCAAAGTGTGAATATAACAACAAGCATTTCACTTAAACTCAGGGGCTTCATCATTAGCACTTTACTTGTAAGTATTTCTGTTTTTATAGATGAAAGAAAATACTGAAAAGAGAAAAAAGATGACTGTATATGAGTATTATTCAAATCCACTTTATATATATATATGCAAAACCCATCTCACTGATGTACTAGGATACTCTAAATAATAATTTCCCTTTATTGATAGAAATGTACTATTACTTGATTTAATAAATCACTACCACTATGATGGGATTTCTGCCTGAATTCATAGTGAGCTCCATATATACGTTTTATCACATTGTTTCTAAACAGTCACTGTGAGATTTTTGTTTGGCTCCATCCTATATAGACTGTCAGCTTTTATATAACATTTGATATAAGTTATAGTGTAGAGGCAAGGCAAATGCATTTGTAGAGCAATTTTCAGCAAAAAGGCAATTAAAGGTGCTTTACAATATAACAAATCTACTATTACAAAATTGTAATTTGGGATCATAAGAGAACACAGGTGCTCTTGATTGCTTGCTTCAAAAAGAGAACGAGAATGTGTTTGTTTCCCGAAAACAAATTCACAAAAAAGTCTCCTCATGTTTGATCTTTTTTTTCTTTAATTTATTTTCAGCTAATGGAGTGAGAAAACTGCTCACACATTTCGGCTTGAAGCTTTGATCAGAGCATATAACATGTAACGGCAGACTCTTTTTTTCCATTGGACATCAATCAACACTAAAACAATTTCACCTTTACACATGTGACCAGTGGTGAAAGAAGTACTCAAATATTTCAGTAAAAGTAGCAATACCACAGTGTAAAAACCCCCACATCTGTTTCAAGTAAAAGCCATGCATTCACAATTTGAAAAGTACTTCAAAATATACAATACAATTAAAAATAGTTACATTTTAAGAATAAAATACAACAATTAAAATAGTATCTGTACAATGACACATACAAATGAAACAATAGCTAAATATTAAATGGCAGCACATGTTTTGACATCATCGCTGTAGTAACATCGACTCACAGCGACACCCCGATGCTGTGACCGCCATCACCCGGATATCATGATAAGTGTAACTGTCTACAGCTGCTCAGAGTAGCGCGGGGACGACCTCTTTTTGGCCCTCGGTGTGTTCCGTAGCACGCAGTCTCACAACGTGCGAGAAGAGAAGAGAAGTGAAGACTTTTGGTTTTGAACGGCTAAAAGTGCTGCTAGCGGAGACTCAACGAATCGTAAGTATAACTTTTCGAGGAAGAGTGAGAGGGCGTTTATGGTGTTTATTATATATATCTCTTTTGAAATGTTCTGTAGGTTTATACAATAACCGTAACGTTAGGCATTCTCGTCTTGCATGTTTTAGCAGCATGCTTTTGCTAGTATGGAGTTACGCCGAATGTAGTGACTAATAAACCATGACGTACTAAAGTATTTTGCGGCTAACTAAATGTCCCACTAAATAAAACACGTACTTTCACCGTTGCTGTACTTAATAAGCTGGGTGACTTAGCTTTCCGTGTGCTAACCATGTACAGTCTACGGTACGAACACAGCGTGGCCGGTGTACAGCTGCAGCAGATAAATTAAGCTAAGCTAGCATGTTAGCTATCAAGTTAGCAGCAACATTGCATCAGGACAAACGAAAACTTTCTGTTCATGCAAAGTATATGCTAATTTTCATATGTAGCTAGTTTTAAACTGGCTTCTTTGATTTCATTTACAGGGTCAAGCTGTTCAAGATATAAAACCAGCTTGTTTTTGCTGCTATTAAGGTTTAACCAATTATAAATGGATTCATTAACGTGACACTAACGCCAGAGAATAGCTGCTGTTGCAGGTTCATGGTTCAGAGCTGTTTGGAGTGCAATATAAATTTGGTTCATTCAAATTAAAAAGAAGAAAAAAAACCCTCGTGGTGTTGCAAACAATGTGCAACAATATCTACACTGCTGAGTGTTCTCCAATAAAATGGAGAATTGCATTTTAAATGTCTGTGCTCAAAATCTTGAACACAACCTCATTAAAGGATTTTAAAATGTCTAGGTTACACTGAATTATCCAGAAACCCCAGAATAGCTAGTTTAAATTTTAAACAAATGCATGTGTATGCATGCCAGGATTGAGGCAGTGATTTAAAAACTACTGAAGATCAACAACTGATGGAATAGACTAATGTGGATAGAAATTGTTGATTTGGTTTCCTAAGATATACTACTTGTTTTATCATCATATAATCTTCATATTTTCCGAATTGTTTGGATTACTGGTTTCTACACAGAACAATCATGGCAGAAAAGAAGGAAGAGATGTCTCCAATTGAGGAGAAAGTGGCACGACAAATAGAGGTATTCTGATTTTATCATATATTTTGTAAAAGTCCCTTTTTCAATTCAGCTCTAAGAATGTCTCTCATTCCCAACTCTAGTACTACTTCGGGGATCACAATCTTCCAAGAGACAAGTTTCTCAAAGAACAACTGCAACTCGATGACGGGTGGGTGACTTTGGAGACGATGCTGAAATTCAACAGGTTTGTTATCTCCGTCTTCATCGCATTCTCTGCTGTAAAACAACTTCTCATGTTTATCTGATTCATTCACTAAAAGATATCCTTTGTAAGGATGAGTGTTAGGATTTTATCGATACTACTCATCGGTTTGGTTCCTTATCGATACTCTTGGTGGTTCTTTTGGATTATGTTGTGTGAAAAAAAGACAATATGTGATTAGCTTTAATTTATTAGACTACTCTTATTAGCAAACTCTGAACGTTACCAGCAGTGGACGAGGGCGGCTGCTTGCCAAACAGCCGTGAACTAATTTATGCAGATTTATTTGATCCTTATCCAAATGTTTTGTAAATTGCTAGTATTGCCTCCCTTACTTGTGAGGGTTTTATTGCATTTGTGGCAAGAGTTATCAGCATCTACTGGAGTAAAATGTAGCCACACTTTCGATCTTTTTATCTCTCTGCCGCGATGTGTGTCTCTCACTGTACTGAGCCGGATTCGGAGTGTGTGTCAGAGAAAAGCACGACTCCGCCCCTCGTGTAAAGATGGGCACAGAGACAGAAAGGTTTGTAGCGCTGCCTTTTTACACAGAAATCTCACTCCTTAACTTCTAAAGTACCGATCGCAAAACCGTTAACTCCGGACTTTATCAATACTCTGTGTTCCCTTTGCATAAGCTTAACACGGGTTGTGTGGTTTGAGTGACCTGGGAGGACATTTTGTAATAAATAAAGTAATGTCTTTAAACACATAAATTAAAATTACCTTTTTCTCTTGGATAGAGAATACAGCAAAGCACGATGTGCATTTATTTGTTGCTTACATTACTCACCCCGTACAATCAAGTAATAGTCATTCATAAATCTTTTTAAACATTGTCCTTACTTCCACTGCAGTAGTGCTCCAGCATTAAACTGTCTGCTCATTGTGAGTCCTGACATTTGAGCACAGGAATCCAGTTATTCAACCTGATGCCACAAGGAAATGCAGCAAATTAATAAATTCAGCTGACTGATATGACATGATCTGTCTTTGCTTCAGTGCAATGCCCATCTAGTCCAATGCTTCACCGTTCTCTGGAAGTTGTAGCTGTCTTTGCGTTTTGAGACAAACATGCATGAGCATGATGGCTCTGTCTCTGCCTGTACTGTTGGTAATTTTAGTCTTTACCTGCAATAGCTGTTATTTCTTGATGGTAATGCTCTGCTATTCTGACCACACCTTCAACCACAAGGGAGTGTGGGAGATACTGAGTCCTAAAAGTAATCCACTCAAGACTAATGTAGAGCTAGTGTATTTGTTATTGTGGAAAACTGTCACCAACCAAAATTTAATATATATATATATATATATATATATATATATATCCCTAAAAACACTACACTAAAAACACGAGCCAAATAATGGTTAACTTCTGAAAGGCTGTGGCAAATATGTTTGCGATGTACCCGTGTGCTTTTGTTTTTAACAGTGGAAGAGGAATTATTTGGTTTCACATCCCTGAATGGGGTCGCGTCTGCGCTTCCATAACAAGATAGGGCAACATCAACTAAAAACGTGAGAGACAGACAGTGATGACTTAACAGTTTGTGGAGCCATTGTATGACCTACAACCTTTGACAAGCACGGTGCGATTAGCACATGACCTCACCCTGTCCCTAGACACATCACAAAGAGAGGCACACCTGCATGAACAAAGTGACATTTTGCTGAATTTAAGAGGTATTCATGCCGGGCCATTAGAATTAGAGACCCTCTTACTGACTACTTGGCAAAATCTAACTGATTAAAGTCTATATATATATTTGGAGTTTTATGCAGACAGAAGTCAGTGTGAGTCAGCACTTTAACTTTTTAATCAAGCCTAATTACTTGAAAGAGCAGTGTAGTAGTAATTCAGTTGCCTTTTTATTCCCCCTTTGAGATCAGAGTGTTTGTGTTCTCGTTCCAGACTGAAGTCTCTAACTACAGAAACCAGCGTTATCATTGACGCTCTCCAGAAATCAAAGACTGGAATCCTGGAAATGAGCGAAGACAAGACCAAAGTCAGGAGGGCTCCAAACAAACCCCTCCCAGAAGTGAATGACGACTACAAAGACGCTCTTAAACACAAATCTGTTTACATGGTACGCTTTTAAATTCCACGCACACATTTATCTTTCTAGTTTGATTGTTGCTTAAACTCAGTACATTTGGCTCAAATTAATGCCGTATTATACAAAAGTTCTGTGATATATTTTACTTTCATGACGGTTATAATGTTCAGTTTCTTTGGAAAATGTTTTAGAGATTTGATTAAACTGATTATTTTGGAGGCTGTAGTTTGTAGCCCCGTTGAACAGAGGTGTTCTTGACGCTCATTGATATAAATAGGACCCAATGATGGGAACACCACTCTAAAACCATTTCAAATCTAACCTTCATGACGGTAGAATATATTGCAGGACTGTATTAGACTGCATTAGCTTTGGCTAGGAGTACCTAATAAACTGTTTATTTACATTATATAAAACTATAGATACGGTGTTTCCCTAGCAAACATCGACATATCATGGCGCACCGTATTTGTTCAATTTACATCAATATAAATGTACATTTTGCATTCCACATATTCTGATTTAATACTAATGTTTTACCTACGTTTTAATCTTTTCTCATCTAGAAAGGTTTTCCTCTGGAAACGTCCCTCGATGAGGTTCAGGAGTGGCTGAGTGGGAAAGGCAACATAGAAAACATTCAAATGAGGAGAACCCTGCAAAGGCAGTTCAAGGTAAATTACATTTATTATGCAACTATTCCAATTGTATGCTTTTCCAAGGAATTTGGCGAGATTTTTCTAATTACTTGAATGTATACTTTTGTAGGGATCAGTGTTCGTCTGTTTCGACACAGAAGAGTCATCGAAGCAGTTCCTCGAGCGTTCAGACATCAAATCGTTCAAAGACAATGACATGATTGTGTTATCAAGGTAAGTTGCACTGTTTCTTGGTTTAAAATGGATCTAAAGTGGACAAATACTGAGTCGGCACAAGATCTGATGGATGATGAAACGTGGTAGTGACATACTTTCGTGTGTGTGTGTGTGTGTGTATGAGTGTGAGTGTGTGAGAGAGAGAGAGAGTGAGTGAGTGAGTGAGACCCCTCTAGTGCGTCAGACCTGAAGTCAGATGAGCACATTTCTGGAATTGAATGGATTTCTTTTGACCGTTATAACTTCTCGGGATGCTCACTGTCAACCACTACTCTGGGTGCAGATAATTGAAGTCGTGTTTTCTTACAGAATGACCGTACAAATGGACTATGATCAAAGCTACGTTTAACAGACCCTTTTTAAAAACGACAGGGTTATTTCTTTGATACAGCAAAAATGGATGTACTGTCATTTTAAAAGACGCATATGTGCATACAAGATATGTAAAAACTAGAATATTCAGACTATTGGCTGTGTGCATGAAACACCTAAAGTTTAAAGGTGTCGTCAGTATGCTCTGACAGGGTTACTAAAAAGTTAGTTTAACTTTTGATCTAGAAAAAGAAGAACTTTTGAATATTACTTCCTATAATGTCATTGCGGTTCTACTTGCAGAGAAGACTACCATGCAAAGAAAGCAGAAGAGAGAAAACTGTTCAAAGCAGAGTCGAAGGCAAAAGCTAAACAGTGAGTACACAAGCAATACCTCACTGTCCTAAAACATCCATTCTTTGAAAATGACTGACAATCCTCCCAAAAACTGTTTAGGGACAAGGACCAACAGCAGAAAAATGCAGAAGACAAAGAAATGGTGAGCTCCTCCTGAGTGCTAATCAGCTTTGCACTCTGATGGGCTCTGGTCACAGGAATAATAATGCGCCGTTTGTGTTGCAGGGTCTGCTTTTGGATGAACAGATGGGGTGCTTGTTGAAGTTTTCAGGAGAGCTTGAAGACGTTTCCAGAGAGGACTTCCATGAACTGTTCTCGGGCCATGGAAAGATTAAGTGGGTTAATTTTACAAGAGGGGCCAAAGAGGTAAGGAAACTCTACAACTAAAGTCTGGCACTCGGGGTGCAAAGATGAAATGTCATTTAAATGAAATGTTTTTACTTTCAACAAGGGCACCCTGCTGTTCGATGGGAACGCAAAGGCAGCGTTCGATAAAGCCAAAGAGGCAAACGGAGGGGAATTGAAAATCAAGAACAACAGTGTTAACTGGCAGGTGTTAGAGGGCGATGACGAGAAAGATGAAATGAAGAACATCATCGACGCTCAACAAGAATCATACAACAGGTCCAAAAACAGAGGTAAAACTTAACAGCTGATCTAAAACAACTTGTAAATCCCCCATAATTGAATCCATGATTTTGTATTAATGTGTGGTTTGTGTTAAAAGCTAGCAGAGGACGATCAGGAGGCAGAGGAAGAGGAGGCCGGAGGGGAGGAAGAGGTGGCAGAGATCAAGGCAGAAGTCAGTACAAGGGCAAGAAGATGAAATTCGAGAGCGACGATGAGGACGAAAGTAAGTTGAGCATCTTTCGGAATTTCAAAACTGTGTTTCACTCGTGCATTGTTACTCATATTGGATCTACTTTGTGCTTTTCCTCCAGAACCTGTAGTCCAAAAGAGAGAGCGGGAAGAAGAAGCTGTTGGTCCCGCAGCAAAGGTTCCCAAAACTGAAAACGGATCTTAGTCACACAGTCACACTCAGAAGTTTTGTGAAAAGATTTATTATTAACATTGAAAATGCAGAGGCAACAAAAATCCATTCCAGTGAGTTTCAGGCTTTGGAGAATCGTATGAAGTCCACCTGGATGTCGACCTAGAGAACAATTTGCAAAGCGTCGTCAGTTTTCAGCTTTTTAAGTCCCTTTATATTGTGCCTCTCACATTATTTGTGTGCCTATATTTCTCTTAAGATGTTTTTGATTTTATTATTCAACATAAATCTGCACTTTGACAACAATGTAATTACACCTGAACATTCAGTGGGTTTCGTAAGACCTGTGTGACATCTAGGATTTGTGCCATGTTGTTTTTCTTTGTAGATTACCTACAGTGAGTTATGAGAATCTGCTTTGCTATTTTTTTTAAATTTTTTTTTTTTAAGTTTGCATTTGTGAATAGCAAATAAAACACAAAAATGAATCAATGTGTGGTGGTGTGTTTTATAAATTACGCCTTGTCACAAAGAGCTTACCGATTTCTTTTTGTGGAACTTGTAAGATGCTGGTAAGTCGTATCTTAGTTCTGTGAAGAGAGTACGTAGTCAGTGTTTGAATATTTCAGTTCTAGAGTACGGTGTACTGTATTCTTACCTGCTATTACTTCCATCTTCATTCCCCAGTCATTGGCCTTCTTTTGAATGTGCTGTAATCACATGAGGATTTAAACATGCATTTCAGTCTTCACACTACAGATGAGTCAGTTATATAAATGAGGAGCTAAGATTTGACTTTGCTTAACTTCAGGCTTGAAAGTAGAGCTGCAACAAGTAGTCTAATCGATTGACCGAAAAACAAACTATTTCGATTATCTACTCTGTTTTAGTATTTTTTTGTCATACAAAAATTGTGGGAAAATGTTACTTTATGCCTCTTAAATTGGAGATTTCCCATTTTATCAGATTAAACTGAATATCTTGGTCTTGGATTGACAAAATCAGACATTTAAGGCAATCACCTTGGACTTTGAGGAATTTTTCACTATTTTCAAACATTTTATAAACTCAAATGAGTCTAGAAGTTAATAGTGAAAACAAGTGTAAATTGCAATCAAACCTGGCTTGGACTCTCCCTGACAGCTCCATCTAATATGACTGCTGTGTATGTGGATGCTAAACACTCACCACTCGTGTTGATGTCTTATGGAGTGAATACACTGCTGTCTTTGCCATCGTTAAAGCGGCCCATAAGAACTTCATGTCCATACCTTGAACAAAGAATACAAAATATGTAATATGCATGTAACTCGATAGGGCTACACTTATTTAAAGGGGTACTCAAAGATCAGTATACATGTCATAGACTGAACTACTCGGCCTGTGAAAACGTGTTAAATGTCTTTTGTGGCTTTGAAGAGAGCCGTCTAATGCCATGTTCATGGAGTTACCCTGGTTAAAGTCTCCAGCCTCTGCTGGACCGATTTGGAAGTCCCCTAATGTTATAGAAGCACAGTACTAAATCACCCGAGTAGCCCATTAAACTGTGTCCTCACCCTGGTTGTGTTTTGTCCCAAATGGTGGATTCATTATTACAGTGTCAAACTTTTTGGCATAAGCATCAGCCCCCAGAGAACACAGGTCACATTGGACCAAATCCACGTTAGAAATTTCAAATTCCTCTGCGTTTCTCCTGAATATGTCCAGTGCGTCGTTGTCAATGTCGAAGCCGACGCACAAACTGAGTAAGAGAGAGAGAGAATGAATCAAATGAGGAATTAAGTTAAAATGTTGATATGATGAAAACAATGTTGGATGGTCGGATACTCTCACCCTGCGTTCAGCATCGCAGCCCCAATGCTGAGGACTCCACAGCCACATCCCAGATCTGCCACTAGTTTACCCTCAATGTCATCAAACGTGCTCTGGATCGTATACAGCATGCATGCTGTGGGGGGAACAGAAAGTCAACGAGAACAATGTGCGCTATCAACAAACTCCAATAATAAGCACGTGTTGTCACCTCACCAGCTATATGGGGACTGGTCGGGTATTGCTCAAGAAGGATTTTTGGCTCTTCAAACGTGTCCACTTGCTGTAAACAACTCTCTAACTCTTTTAGCTTCATTACTAGCGACTGTAATGTCCTAAACCTATGTGCAGCCGGTGTGATAACACTGGTAAGTAGTTCAAACGGTTATTCTTCGGCTATTACCGCTGTAAGTGTGTATTTAATGCATATTTGAAGATGACTTCCGGAAGAAATGTGTGCAATGTGCATCAACCAAAACAATCCGACTTTGATCCTTGAAAGCGTGATGGTAGTTCCTCCAAGATGTTTGTTTTATTAAATACATTTATTGTATGCGACGTTTTAAATAAGGTATTTTAGTTAATTAAAATACAACTGATAACAAGATTGCTGAAAAAAAGAAGTAATAAATAATGATTAAAAAAAGTGAAATACAATTTATGTACAACATCAATAAAGTGTCTTATAAAAGTGTAACATAGGGGGATTATTTCATTACAATTGAATTGTACTAGTGCACTGAGATTTATGTTTTTCAGTCATGCGTGCTGAAAACGACCAAACTATTTTAGAGTATGATATATTTTATTACAATACAACTGATAACAAGATTACCAGAAGAAAAAACAAAAACATCGTAATCTAAAATAAAATAAAAAATACTATTTACATAATCAAAGATTATATGTAATAAAAACAAATTATAACAATAATATATAATACAAGCGCAATTAGTGTATGTACAACATGAAACAGTGAAGTTTCTTCAAAAAGTGTAACATAGGGGGGTTATTTAATTTGATAATTTAATTGATAATGTATCTACTAAATGCTTGGCCCTCTCCGCACAGCCCTGCGTTGCATGAATGCACTGACATGATGTTTTATCAGTCTGATGTTAGAGGCGGACCGTCTATTAGTTACATAGAAACAGGAAAACTAAACAGCACGCATGACTGTGCATGAACCGAGCTGGTTAAGCAAGACAGACGCCTCGATTCTGCTGGATCAAATACTTAAATTAGATTCCTGTGAGTCATCGCTGCACACTGCGCGGAGGGGTGAACTCGTCAGACCACGTTAACGACTCGTACCGCGAGAAAGCCCGAGAACATGGAAACAAGACAACAAAAATAAATTTGTGGACAACAAGCCAGTGTGCATGATGGCGGCGTCCCTACTGCTGCGCCGGGACAAGAAAGCCACAGCCGCCCACTTGAAGGCAGACTTGAATCGGGCTGACAATAGCTCCGGGGTCCGACAGCTCCAGGAGCTGCTAGACACTGTGCTAAATCCCGAAACACCAGCTGCGGACACCGAGGCTCTGGACTGGTGTAAATGTCTCATTGCAGGAGGCGAAGGTTTCGAGGAGTTCTGCAAAACCGTCCGGTCCTACGACAACGCGACTCTGTGCGGCTTGGTGTGGACCGCGAACTTCGTGGCGTATCGATGCCGGACCTGCGGCATCTCCCCGTGCATGTCCCTGTGTGCCGAGTGTTTCAACAACGGAGACCACACGGGCCATGATTTCAACATGTTCAGGAGCCAGGCTGGCGGGGCCTGTGACTGTGGAGACAGTAATGTCATGCGAGAGAGTGGGTAAGTCCGAGCTAACGCTAGCTGCTAGCTTAGCTAGGTAGGCTAACTCAACGGCCGGTATTGTTTTGACAGCTCTTAGCTCACTTAGCTAATGCTAGTTCCTGATCTGCGTAGTCTGTTTAGCTTCAATACAATATCGTAGTGTGGCATGAGTGTTTGCTTTTATCCATTTAGTCAATATATCCACATTACTGATGATTATTTACAGCACCAATAATCAACCCTACAATATGGTTGCATTATTGATATAGAGGTAAAACATATTGTGATATTTCATTTTCTCCATATTACCCAGCCCTATTGCTGAAACGGATACATTAAAGTCATAGCTATAATTGTTATTCTTGATTATACCATAATGTATAATCGTAGCTTAGATAAAATATTGCAAGACTGAGGCAAAACATTATTTTTTATCATTCATATCATTATATATTGTTATCAATATCCCAAATTCTTACCCTGTAATGCTCACCTAATCATTTTTACACCTCAACCCAATCGAATATTCAACTAAACACTGTGCAGTGCTGTGATCACAAGTATTGCATCTATAAAAACAATTATAATGCAACCTTCTTGTTTGGCAGGACCAGTATGGAGCCTCTACTGGAATGATAATATAATTAAAACCGGATGAGAGCGAGAGAGAAGGCCGCTATAATCTTTATTAGCGGTCTGGAACATCAACATTTGTTTGTTTGTTTTCTTCCAGGTTTTGCAGACGGCATCGGTTGAGAACCGGGGAGAATCTCCCCTCAATACCTCGAGACCTTCTCTTGATGTCAGAGATGGTTCTTCCTCACTTCATCCTCTGTATCATACAGTATCTGAGAGACGGATACGTTGAACCAGGTGAAGACACTCATGACAGTCTTCTCTTTGGGGCGATAATATACTTTGGCCCTCTAACCATCCTGAACAAATGCCGTAACCATGAAAAATGACTTTGATATTTTCAATACGATGTGGATCTCCTGTTGCATATCGAGTGCAAAACGGATATTGCTGTGCAAGCGGGCTATGCGTGTTACTCAACTGTTCACATCCAAAATGATGTTCACAAAGTACCTGATCATATCTCTTATCTTGCTTTGCCAGACACCTCGACTGAGCGAGATCTGCAGAAGGTCCTGCAGCAGCTGGAACCTCAGATCTCCTTCCTGGAGGAGCTCACCAAGATGGGAGGCGCAATGAGGACTGTCCTGACAAAGATCTTGACCAATCAGCAAACATTCAAGGAGTTGAGCATGGGTAAATATCCATACTGGAGTTTGTGTTGGACCAATTAGCATTGCCATATAACAGACTTTTAGTAGTTTCTTTCTTTCTCAGTTTTGGGTAATTTTTTTTAACATTATTGAAGTAATGTTATTGTGTAGTTTCTTTGTCACACACAACAACATTTTAAAACTTGAAAAAAAACCCGCCTATTCTAGAATTTATACCTTTTTATTGTTAAAATATAAAGTTTTTTTTGGTCTTATTTAT